ATAAAGAAGGTGTTTGGGTGCCTCACGAACTCTCCGATGATCATCGTTTCCAATGTGTGAACATTGTTTCGTCTCTTCTGGTGCATAATGCATGTGAACCATTTTTGGACAGAATTGTCACCAGTGATGAAAAATGGATTCTCTATATGAATATTAAATGCCAAAAACAATTGCTGATTCGATGAAGTTATCTTATGATAAGAGATCTACTGAAGTCAGCTTTGAACCAGGAGACATGGTGTGGTTGTATAATCCCAGGAAGACCAAAGGGAAGTCTCCTAAGTTGTCTTCTCCATGGGAAGGCCTATATGATATAGTGGATCGTCTCTCAGATGTGACTTTCCAAATAAAATGTGGTTGGAGAGGTAAACCAAAGGGGGTGCATGCCAACAGGCTTTAAAGTTAGGTTAGGTTAGGTTAGGTTATCACGGTCAAGGTCATTTCAGTTGGAACGAAGTGAACAACAGAACAAATGATGCTGCTGAAGACGTGTCACCTGAAAAAGTCACTGTTGAAGAAGAAACTACCCGGTTCTGAGAAGGGAAACAGTGAAGCCCTTGATGAAGTTACTACCACTGATGTGACTGTTACCAATAATAGGACATTTCCTGATGGAGCAGATGAACCCCACGTGAAGCAGAAGCCAACAAGACTGAAACCAGTGCGAAAGAAGATACGTTCCATAAAATTAAGAGACTTTGTTGAATTTTAATTTTGTGTTTGTAAATTCTTTACATTTAATTAAGTTATTGTTAATTATCTATTGGTTTAATGTAAGTGGCTATTGTTTGGGACGAACAATACTAAGGAAGGGACAGTGTTACGACAGCGGAAGTCACGTGATGCTGTTAACACGTCATGAGTTTCTAGAAGAATCATGTCTCTTCCTGGTAACTCTAGTCTTTTCTATGCGCCCTCTATTTTAGTATATAAGCTGGCAAATAAAGCGGAGGAACAATTTTCAGATAGGGAGATATAGAGACGGATAATTGAGTCAAGCGAGCGGTAGTGACTATAAGTAAAGTGTGTGAATCATTGTGAATTGTAGCGTGTGTTTAAGTTAAAGTGACTGTGGAAATTAAGCGTATTACAAAGTTTGTAACAAGAAAGAAGAAACTAGTTTTACTCAAGAAGGGACTTGTATTGCTGAAATCACTCGGAAAGAATTTTTACGGGAAATTAACAAATGACCAGAGACGTAGTAGGCCTCCTTCGCCCAGGTTTGACCATGGATGAGCATCCGTCCATTGTTAGCTCATATTGATCGCTCGTCTAGAGCAGCGTCTCTTGTGACTAAGGAGATCGACACGAGAGTGACAGTCCCGGTTGCAGAGGTCACATATGTGCGTTGACTCTGGTCTGTTGGCTGCCTGTTCCTTTTGATGCGCTCGCTTCTCTTCTGCCGCCTTCGTCAATTCCTCTTCACTGATCTTCAGTTGTTTACGGAGAGTGTTTCTCCAGTCGGCGCGATCAGCAGCGAGGTCCTCCCAAGTTTCGTTGGTGATGTTGAGCACCTTCATGTCTCTTTTGCAAATATCCTTGTATCTCAGCTGTGGGTGGCCGATGCCTCTCTATACTTCGGCAAGCTCTCCGTAGAGGATGTCTGTTGGGATTCGGCCAGAGACATAACAGTATAATATTTTAACCATTCAACTTTGATTTTAAAAAGGAATAAAAATAAATTTTACAATAATGACTATGCTGCTCATAAAGTCTTGAAATCAGATTTTTATAGGAAAGAAACTACATATAATATAAATATTATTTTGAATCTATAAAGTATAAAAAGCAGATTAGATTAAAAATGGCTTTTGAACCTAAAACTAAAATTATATAATTACAATTTCTTCCTTTCTAGAGTTTAGATTGTCAATAGGGAAGTTAATTAATTGCCTTTATGTTACTACAGGTGATTGAGTTGAATGTCAGTCATTTGTTGTTTAAAGAATACATCTTTGGTACATATATATGAGTTAGGAATTATATGAATTAATTTTAGATAAAATATTGAAACTATGTATACTGTAAATCACTGTAAACATCTACTGATCCTTAGTGTATGTGTTTTTTAATTTTCAGTCTGCTTAGAAAGGATAAAATGTGTGGAATCATTTGGTAATCCTTTAATTGTCTTTACCAAGAAATATCATCCAGATTTAACTCTTTCCAGACAAATTCTTATCCCGAAAATAAGTTACCTGCTGAAACATTTTACTTAAAAAAGAACAATTCTTATACAGCTTGTTTTTCTTTAAATTTATATATTTCTGTATCCCAGGAATTAATCCATAGCTGGAAAGTAGATGGTTACAAACATTGCAAACTTCCCAAAATCAAACCCAAACTATTTTCTGGACCCAGACTGTATCTTACAGGTGCCTGCAAATTTTCTTCCTTTACAATGCAGCGTTGGGCTTTCAAAGCTTGTAGTATACTGAGGTGAGGTGATATTACTACTCCTACTGAAGTAATTTAAAATCAGCTTAATAAACGATATTTCAAAAAAATGGAAACTTGTAATCTAGCACAGTATTTAAAAACTTCTTGTATTTGAAATGAATTAAATACCACAGTTATATATGAATATCTGATAAACTCTTGGTTATAACACTTGAAGGAATGTTCTGCTACTTAAATATAGAGGATAACCACAACTGTTTTTTATGTTATTTCCTGATATTATTGGTCTTCTTCTTAAGGAGAATTGACCTGGAAAATAGTGTGTATCAATTTCCAAGTGATGACATTAAGGCAAAAATAAAAACATTGCAGTTACTTACTTAATAACAGAAAGCTGATTTAAGATGTGAGATCAGGAGTGTAAAACTTATACTTTTCACCAATGTTAGCATACTGTCCATTTTTACCGGTATTTGGACGTCTGGATAGTATACTCTCCACTAATGGTACAATGTTGTGAATCTAGCTATACTGTTTTTCTGTAGGTAGTAGACTTTCCATTAATGATGTAGTGTTGTGAATCTTTAACTGCTCTGTTTTTCTATAGGTAAAATACTTTCCACTAATGATACAATATTGACAATCTCTAACTGTTCTGTTTTTCTATAGGTAGTATACTTTCCACTAATGATACAATATTGACAATCTCTAACTGCTCTGTTTTTCTATAGGAAGTATACTTTCCACTAATGATACAGTGTTGTGAATCTCTAACTGTTCTGTTTTTCTATAGGAAGTATACTTTCCACTAATGATACAGTGTTGTGAATCTGTAACTGTTCTTTTTTCTATAGGAAGTATACTTTTGGACTAATGATACAGTATTGTCAATCTCTAACTATTCTGTTTGTCTATAGGTAGTATACTTTCCACTAATGATACATTGTTGTCAGTCTTTAATTATTCTGTTTTTCTATAAGTATACTTTCCACTAATGTAACTATATTGTGAATCTCTGACAGATCTGTTTGTTGTTGTTTTTTGTAGGAAGTATACTTTCCATCAGTGCTACTACACAGTAGATCCTAAACCATATTTTCAAAGGTGCCTCCAAGATGCTTGTTCTTGCAAGTTCAATGAACCTTGCTTTTGTGATGCCATATCGGCCTATGCTCTGGAATGCAGACGTCATAAAATTTATGTTAAACATTGGACTACAAATAACATATGTGGTAAGTGATTCCAAGTTGCTTGAATATAAGTGTGTGATTGTTACATTATATGTAAACCAGGGAGTTTTACAATGTTCTAGAGCTAATCTAAAAAACCTAAATTATGTCTGACTCTCAAAATATAAGACTGAACCATTTTTAAACTTACATTTTATGTTGAATCAAGACGTGTTGTACTAAACAAACACTGCTGAAAATTATTATCATTGCTTTAAGAAATCTAGCAATTTATTGAAATATAAAATAATTCAGAAAAGTTTCTATTTTCGTTTTTAACTAATGATAAAGTTGCCAGGATGTGGTCAATACTTAACACCTGGAAAAACCAAAAACTAGTTGGATCATCTGCTCTATATGTTTATTGTTGTTTTTTTTACAATTAATTTACTTTGGACTGAAAAGAGCCAAGAAGTGATCTGATTTAAGTAAATTTTGTAAACTATAATACCAAATGATATATATTGTAAATGAATAATTTAATTTAGTGAACTTTTTTGTATGCACTAGCTTTGTGTACAGAGGTTCTCAGTGAAAGGAGTGAACAATAATAATAGTAGGTTTTGACATGCATCACTTTGAGAGAATGATATTTTATGCTCTTTTTCAGAGGCGCGATGTAGACATGGTAAAGTATATGACGACTGTGGTCCAGCATGCCCTGAGACCTGTTCTAGGGTGGAAAAGAATGATCCTAAGTGTTTCCAGAGACAATGTGTGGGTGGCTGCCACTGTCCAGCAGGGAAGGCTCTACACAATGATCATTGCATTCGTTTCTCAAAGTGTCCATAGGACGCACTAGTTTTGTGTGCAAACGTAGTCAGTTAAAGGAGTAAACAGTAAAAATGATAAGTGCTAAGATTGAGAGAATTTTTTATAACTTGATTTAAAGATACATGTTTATTTCTATGTAGATGTTCATTAATATAGAAAATTTTAATGTAGAACAAACTTATTAGATGTTTTTATCAATACTAAAATTTATATATTAAAAATATTCGTTGACTTAATTTGTTTTCATCTGTATGTACACGTTTACTTTTTCACACCTCATTTTACATTTAATGGCTTACAGTTTTTTTATCAGTCGTTTTACTATTTTTGACATGAAACGTAATTTTTTGTTAATTGTATGACATGTCTGTGAAATATTGTATTAAGAATTTATTCAAACTTTGAATACATCCTGTACTTTTGGAAAGTTTACTTATATCTGGCTGGAACAATAGAGGTAAACTTAGCAGTTTCAAATAAAAAAAACGGACTCATCAAATATTTCTCATAATTATTACACTTGAATCTACAAGTAAGAATTTTAACTGAAGTTATTGATTCATTTATAAGTATTGTATTTAGTATACTATTCAATATTCTTATAACTACCAGAAACTTGTTTTAATAAATAGCTTTATAATACTTCCCAGTTCATATGTATGGCACCAACTACTGTCAAGTCCCATTTGTTCACCTGCTTATTTCTGTCATGGCCCCATGGTTCATCTGTCCAATCTCTACTGCTACCTACGATCATCAGTTAACCTTTGTAACTACTGCTGTCATGGTCCTGTGGTTCATCTGTCTGATCTCTACTGCCACCTAGGATCATCAGTTAACCTTGGTAACTACTGCTGTTATGGCCCTGTGATTCATCTGTTTGATCTCTACTGCCACCTAGGATCATCAGTTAACCTTGGTAACTACTGCTGTCATGGCCCTGTGGTTCATCTTTCTGATCTCTACTGCCACCTAGGATCATCAGTTAACCTTGGTAACTGCTTCTGTTATGGCCCTGTGATTCATCTGTTTGATCTCTACTGCCACCTAGGATCATCAGTTAACCTTTGTAACTACTGCTGTCATGGCCCTGTGGTTCATTTGTTCAATCTCTACTGCTACCTAGGATCATCAGTTAACCTTGGTAACTACTGCTGTTATGGTCCTGTGATTCATCTGTCTGATCTCTACTGCTACCTAGGATCATCAGTTAACCTTGGTAACTACTGCTGTCATGGTCCTGTGGTTCATCTGTCTGATCTCTACTGCTACCTAGGATCATCAGTTAACCTTTGTAACTACTGCTGTCATGGCCCTGTGGTTCATTTGTTCAATCTCTACTGCTACCTAGGATCATCAGTTAACCTTGGTAACTACTGCTGTTATGGCCCTGTGGTTCATCTGTCTGATCTCTACTGCTACCTAGGATCATCAGTTAACCTTTGTAACTACTGCTGTCATGGCCCTGTGGTTCATTTGTTCAATCTCTACTGCTACCTAGGATCATCAGTTAACCTTGGTAACTACTGCTGTTATGGCCCTGTGGTTCATCTGTCTGATCTCTACTGCTACCTAGGATCATCAGTTAACCTTTGTAACTACTGCTGTCATGGCCCTGTGGTTCATTTGTTCAATCTCTACTGCTACCTAGGATCATCAGTTAACCTTGGTAACTACTGCTGTTATGGCCCTGTGGTTCAT